GATTATACATTCACGACCGGAATGCGAGCTTAAATCCTACTTTCTAATGTCTGGGTCAAGGCAAATATGCCGAAGCTTCCAAATTGCTTTCCTGTTGAGATTATGTTTATTTTCAGTTACCAAACAGGTAACGTATATGTATACCTCCATTTTCGCGTAGTGACAAATATTTATCTGAAAAACACAGCTAGGAGTAAAAAACGCCATCAATTCTTCTCAACCGATTGAATACTTATGTTAAAATATCCATATTTACCCGCATTATCGACCCGCCTGAAAACTCCACACATATTATTGATTCCGTTTAATTATTCATCCTTTTTTTAAAATTTTATTGCACTCGTGTGGATTTGTCTCTTAAACCAGCGGCCAGTAGCACTAACAACGAAATGGGTATTCAGCCACCTATATCAGCATAGTTTTACATAAATTCGACGTATTTATGCTTAAAAAAAACGCGTAAAAATGAATAAACATAGATAAAAAAATTTGCTTAGGAATTGCATGCTACATCGTCCTTTTTAGCATAAATACATCCAATTTACCAAGAGAATTTTGTGAAAATGCAGACTGTTTGCAAAATCAAATCAATGAGGAGATTTTAAATTGTGCGAGTGAAGTTAAAAGGAAGTATGTGCATAGGATTTGCGAGCAATAGATTTCCTAACATATAAATATACCTAATTCACAATAGACAATTTGACGGATTTTATCAGAATCAACCTAACAATCATGTAGTTACATTTCACATCACTAATTTCTTCGTTTTTTTAGTAGAGAACTGATAAAGATGACGCTTTGAATCTTTCTGCGAATTTCTGCTGAATCCTAAATGATGTACCAGCAAAAGTTCACGTGATCGGAACGTTGCTTGGTTTTTTTTATCCAAAAATGCAAATACAGCATGACAGAAATTAAACAATATCTGGTGTAGTAAGACTGATTCTGGTTACGTATCGTCGCTCCTCTGACGTAAGAGCGTATCTTTGTTTCCACATAAGTCTTCGAAAGTATAGAGTTATACTGGGCACTGAGCTCACGTGGAAACTGAGAAGCGCCTTTACGTTTGAGAAGCGACGACACTTCCAATTCATAGTACGAAGGTACTAAATTTGAGCAGGAAACTATTAACATCAATTACAGCAAAGCAAGTGAAAATAAAATCTATAATTTTATTAATGTGGCTGATTATTAAACGATTATTCGCCCTGGGCATCGAAATATGAGGCTGCGCCATGCACGCATCGGTTTTTTTCTGCCGTACTAAGGAAATACACCGTATGAACCTCCGGATGTTGCCAAATTTCTCATGATAAAATACAAATTTCCTGAAAATCTCGCAGATTTTTTAATCCAATTTTTCGGACAATTTCACGCTCTATTTGATCCAGTGCATCTGAAAATTTTAAGAAATGAATTGAATAGCTTTTAAAAAAAAATCGATATTTTACTGAGAACAATCCGACAACATTAGAGTGCTCATGCGGCGTTATTCCTTCAACACGGTAGTATTGGCGCTCTGGACTAATCACGCGCATTTGAACGTAACTGTGCTAAACTGACCTATGTGCAAATGAATTACATCAAAAGGAACTATGTGCATAGGATTTGCACACCTCATAGTTCCTATTGATTCTATTCGTTTTCGCATAGTTCTTTTCAGCATAAATCCGTCCATTTTATTTTTCCTCATTACCATTTCCATGACCCACAACATGAGCGACGATTTTGACCGCGGCAAAGCGTTTATTAATCCAGTCTTGAGGATCCCAGTCTGCAGATGTGTCTCGTCCCTGGGTGATGATGTACGGTAATGACGGGTCTCTTGACTCTTGATGCACGCCCTGTTGAGGATCTTCTACCGCGAGGTCAGGTCAGGATCCTATTGCTCTCGCTCCCGAACACACTGATAAATAAATGGAAATCAAACCCATGATTTACAGTACTCGGCACTTCAAAGCGTGTTCAATGCTACTATCAAGCGTGTGCAACGGCTTGATACTACGATCACGTGCATTCCATATTCACCACCGACTTGCCGCATTGCCGTTTTGTTTCTCGAGCATGCACGGAGAAAAAAAACTCGTGCGTGGGACCTGAAGTTTAGGTCATATGGATCTCTGAAGTTTTCAGATTGAGCATCTGAACACTTTAGGTCTAGCTGCCGAAGTTCGGATCATACATCTGAAACTTCAGTTCTTACATCTGAAGTACTTCAGATGTGAGAACCGAAGTACTTCGGATGTGAGAACCGAAGTACTTCGGATGGGAGAACCGAAGTACCTCAGATGTAAGAACTGAAGTTTCAGATGTATGATCCGAACTTCGGCAGCTAGACCTAAAGTGTTCAGATGCTCAATCCGAAAACTTCAGAGATCCATATGACCTAAACTTCGGGTCCCACGCACGAGTTTTTTTTCTCCGTGTGAATCGATTGCTACCCTGAAAAAAAGTTCGATCGTATGACCTGAAATTTTGCTGTTCGATTAGTATCAAAAGCCGGACAAGGTGCAATTTTAAACATTTTTTTATAGGTATGTTTCCTCTTCAACATGTTTTGTAGGACACGATTTGCGCAACAACGATATAGCTGTTTTTCAGCATAGGTCTTGAGAAACTTGAATTTCCCATTTACAAGAAAAAAAGAGCACCTGAATTAAATCCCTCACTGCAGCGGTGTTAGCACGCATTTCATAAAGAAATGTTCACATTATCGGTTATTCTAAATGTAAAGAATAAGCAATACCTAAGCAGAAGCGCCAAGATTGAGGTTGTCATCTGTTGCAACGGAGTTTCAAGAATTACGATTTACAATGGAATCTATGCGGGACAGATCGGACCCGCGTTTTCCTCAGATACCTTGAAATGACTTAATTTGAGTTCGGTGCCTTTTGACTCTGGAGCACTGATTTATGAATTTACGAAAAAGAACCATACTTTGACAGAACGCTGGGAGCTCATCCATCACCACTGCCCTGCTGTGTATTTTATCCGGAAAATCGCACTGAAAAAAGTTACCGGCTGTACAGACATACCGTACGTTCCGGGTTTAGAGGCCGAAAGTTCCAGGTGCTGGAGCCGTAGCTTCGACTGCTGCGGCTGCTACGCCAGGAGCTTTCGGTCTCTGAGCCCGGAACGTGTCTCTATAGCCCGTAAGTACTCTTCCACGGCCGAAGTTTTTTTTTTTTTTCTTCAGTGCGGCAACGTATTGGTATGGTTCCGCGTTACCCGGGACTGGAACTATGTTAATAGCGATTAGCTGTTTGTTCCGCTCTGCAGGAACTGGAGGAAAGACGCGGGAGCCCGAGTCGAGGGCCGAGGTCTGTGCACTTCCGACTTGAGCTCGTCTTCAGCTCGTGACTTCTTGCGGCGCGGCACGGCGCCGCTTGGTACAGCGTTGGAACTGCCTTTGCGCTCTTGCATCTGTCCACAGCATTTTTCCACGACCCATGGCGGGGCATTCTTCTTCGAGGTATACCAATGCCTTCCGCCCTCCAAGAGACATGAATTGAAAGTGCATAACTTTCTTGAGTTCTGATCTTAATTCGCTGTGCTCACTGCGTGTTCTCAGCCAGAGGATCTTGAATACAAAAGGGCAATCAAGGATAAATGGATCACATTTTGCTGTGAAAAACTAATATTTATAGTTCATTTTAAAAATAACATGTAGGCCATTGTCTTTAGTTTGACAATGCCGATAAGAGATTTTACAGATGAGCTAGAAATAGTATTTCCTAATTGCAAGATTTAGTCAAATTGATCTCGTTCCTCCGGTTCAAAATAATTACATTTTTGAACTTGAATTCGTTTGGTGACATAAAACCATTCGCTGGAATGCTTCGTTCATAAAAACACAGGGCCGAATTAAAGGGGTGGCCACATGGGCCGCGGCCCATGGCGGCAAATTTAGGAGGCGGCAAATGGTGTACTTTTTTCAAAAGTGAGTATCAAGAAAAAAATCTGATTCAGAAAAAAAAATTAAAAACGAGAATAAGCGAAAAAATCTCGCATCTCCCGAGAGTAAAGGTGTAGTAATTTCTAATTTATTCGTCTTTCGGTAATACAAGAGACAGCGCCATTCGTAGTCTAGTTGAGAGAGAAACAAAACACGCGATTTGGCCCGGAGCGGCGCGGCGCAGAGAGCAATGATGGCGAGGACTTGAGATGGAAATGAGAAGCTCTCGGCGCGCCGGTCAGCATGTAACACATATTAGCGCCTACAATACTCCATGAATACTTCAGGCATTGCGTCAAACGTAGTGCCGTCAGCAGCGGTTGGGTAAAACTCCTAGTGCCTACAAGACTGCATGAATACTTCACGCATTGCGCCAAAATCAGTGCGGTCAGCAACGGTCGGCGTGAAACGCATAGCGCCTACAAGACTGTAGAGATACTTCAAGCATTGCGCCAAACACAGTGCGGTTGGCATGGTGGCGGAAATTAAAATCATTAAACCACATTCATGTTTATTCTTTCATAATTTTTTCGTTCTTTTCTTATAAATGAAAGGCCTCGTCCACACAGAGATAGGTTTACGGAACTTAATTTTCGTGCAAAGTTCCTTGAACTTTTGCTAGTGTTGAGAGGGCTTTTACAAAAAATTTGCCCAACACGAGTAAACACGTCTTATGCACCCCTCCTCCTCCGGCACGTTCGCTGGATGGTTTGTATTGATGTTTCAAAACGAATGTGAAGGGGCGGCAAAAATACAGGCGGCCTATGGGCGGCAAGTAGGTAAATCCGGCCCTGATGTGATTTTCGATAGGGTTCCTTTTTTAAGAGCGTGGTTTTTTCAGCAAGATAAGTAACACAATTTTCGAGATACAATTCATATTTGTAACGCAAGGAAACATATGTATATCAATTACATTGAATTATTGTAGAATTCGAAAAGCAGCTGTCATAATAGGGTATCTTAACTTATAAGCTCATAATACATTTGAGCTATTTCAAATAATTTCATCTCATCCTCTCACTTTATATGTATCTTGTGTTTGCAGATAGTGTGGATAGGACTATTTTGAAATCAGTGAGTGGCAAGTTTCGAGCTGGTGAGCTATCCGCCATCTTGGGGCCTTCCGGAGCCGGCAAAAGCAGTCTTCTGAACGCAATTTCCGGCTTTACGTAAGTCAGATCAACTTTATCTATCGATATCTAAAGTCAAGATATGCGAGTCTCCGATTTGCGAAATTGCAGATCTTCAACTTTGAAGTTTTGACAGGAGAAAGTGTGTAACCGGTTAAATTCAAAACTACTGATATTTCTTTTTTACCAAAATGCGGCCTGGCGTGCCTTTGTTAAATTCGGTCCATCTTATCACTGCTGGTGGCTTTTTGGCCTAAATAAATCTCCTTTAAAACAGCGTGGGATGAAAAAACCCAAGCGCCGTAAGTGCGGCGGCAACTGTCTGTCTGTGAGCGATTCTGGATCAAATCTCGCGCTGTCTCCACTGCTGGAGTCACACGGCGCACTGTGGATCGAGTCAATAGGAGAGGTCGGACAAATATTTTGAAAACTTCAAACGCTTATAACTCCGTCTATACAAACCTTCGATGCTTGAAAGGTAGTTCCATTGGATTCCTCGTGAAATTGTCTACAACGAGCACCTCTTGAAATTTAAAATGTGACGAAATAAACAATAAAATTCTGCAGTTTTAGTCAAAAATGTCATGTCCGAACTGTCTCATTGACTCGATCCACTTTGCGGCGTCCCCGCGCGTCATTGGCATTGCCATCATCACTTTCACTTTCTCGTTGCTGCACTCGTCCCCCGGCCGTGGTCGGCGACATTGTTGCTATATGAAGCTGTAAAATTAGCAATTTTTTCATTAAACCCCATGTAAAATATCCGAATTTTATCGCACGACTTGACAACCTCTCTCGGGAGTAGACGCAAATCCCCCATTTCACTGGGACTGCTCGAAAATATGAATTTAAATCGTGAGAAATGGCATCGCTTGGCTCTAGCCCACCAATCAGAGTCCCGGTTTGGTTAAAGCGTGTTCTTTGTAGCAGTGATGCTGAGTTTACGGTAGAATGCGATGATTTTAATGTATCGTGATTAGCGGAACTTCCGCAACACTGATGTTTTGTTATCCCGTTACCTCAGCGGTTACGATGGTACAAAAATTCCCATACGCCTCTACGTGGAACTATCGTGAAGTTGACAAAATTCATAGCACAATTAGTATGAAGGTTAATTGAACTAGGAAGGATTAAATGATACAAGATTGAGATGGTTTTATGAATCGGAATCTTAAAATATGATGAATAATAGTATGCCGAGGGCACTATACTTTACGGGAATCTATTGCTTAAGTCTTTCGTCTTTTCCAAGCATTTCCAGAGTGTCATAAACTTAAAATATACTTGGTCGTCACTTATTTCGTATTTCGGCGATCTTAGGACGCTATGCATGAAAACCAGATTCTGTTATGTACTAGAAGCGTAATTGAAAAGGGTCGAATCAGTAAAAAAATATCGGTCGCTACTCGGAAACCTTTTATCTCGATCGCGCTGTTCCAAAATTGTTTTTCACTTCAAATGATCTAGAATAATGAGCCTAAAGGACGAAACTGGTATTTAATTATCTCCCCCCCCCCCCCCTAAATACATCACATTTGTTAGACTCCGTCTTATGCTCACATATTTGAGTAAGAGGCGTTATTTCAACGTAAGAGGAGGAAATGAGGCTGAGGAGTCAGCACACATTATTTAAACGGCTGAAGATCGAATTTGCGAAAGAAAACCTCCTCTTTAATATTCTATTTGTCGGTGCATGACGAATAGAAGCAAAGATATGCATTAAATCAAGGATTAGGTCACGGTCCGTCGAATGAAAACGACGTAATTTCGTTGAAACCCTTATGTAAATATGTTGTTTTTGCTTGTCGTGGCCGGACACACTCATGATTTTTGAGTTAGGATAGAATCCCGTAACCTCAGGAAAAATCCTACTGATAGATCTGCGGTTTTTTGCATACTATACGCGCGGGATCGTCGCTCATCTTTTCTCCGAGATCCTGCCGATTGACAAGGCGGAGACACGAAGCGTTTAGACCGTAAGAATTCAAGCGAAAAGATCTGGTCGCTCATTGCCGTGCCATAAACCCGATTTCATTATTTTAATTGCACTGAAAGTTCGTTCAGCACATTGCGGTATTCCGCAACGCCAATCGTAAAGTCCAATGCGTACCACGCATCGAAATGGAGGCGTTTGAAAGATCCATCGAAAGTGTATCGCGTTTGCAAATAGTGCCTACGCAATTCGGTTTGAGATGTTGCAATGTTCCGTTACAATTGACGAATAAGTATATACTTTTCTAAAGCATTCCGTATGTGTCAGTGCGAGTATAGTGCAAGTTAAGGTGGATTTCCAGAATTCAGGCTGAAAGCTTCACAAACACTTAACTTCGATACATTGAAAATGCGCACTGGAAAAAAAGTTCGGTCGTACGTACTGAAGTTCGGTGTTCCATATCATCCCAAATAATTCGGTTCGTGTAGCCGAACTTGTGTGGTAAAGTGAACTGACGAACGAAGTTTGGTCATATATGCCGCACGTTCGGTTATACGAACCGAAAGTTCAGTTTGACAAGCCGAATATTTGGGATGGTATGGAACACCGAAAGTTCGGTTCACACGACCGATTTTTTTGCCAGTGAAGTATGGCGGTGACAATAATCGTCGACACCCCTCTATCTAAATCAAGCCCCTTCGTTCTTAAATGTTGAAATGGTAAACCTGCTTGCCAATATTTCCACTTTTCAAATACTGAAGGTAGGTACCAATTGTCAGAATCTGAGTGAGCGCTTGCTCGTGCGGTAACTTGACTCATGACCGAGGTTCAACTTGACCTAGAGTGATTCAACATTATATGTGCACAGCGCTCAAACTTTGCCGATTAGTTTACTCAAATGCGTAGACAAACCAGCCATGATGACTTATTCGCCGGTAAATATCTTCAACAAGAACAATGAAAGAGCTCTCAACCAGAGCAAACAACACGTGCACAAACACTAAATTGTGGCTCGTTACTGCACACCTTCTTCGTTCAACATTCTGAGTGAAAAACAATTCGCTCCACGGAAAGTTTTAAAGACAACTGTGTGGTTGGGTGTCGATGACTAAAAATAATTTAGGTCACAAGTAAAGGAAACAAATGAATTCGTACGTGTTGGTGTTTCAGTGAATATTTTCCAACCGGAGTAGTGAGGGAAAAAGTACATATGCAAAAGAAAGTATTTGATAAAAGTTGTATTTTTGTGCCTAACCCCTCTCCTTCCTTTTAGTGGTGGCGTGCTCCCCCCCCCCCCCCCNCGGGTCAAATGAAAGGGAGATCCATCTAGGAGGGGATATTTTTTTGAAAATTTTTGGGGGGAAATCCCCCTGATCATGACGCCAGCAAATCCTCCCCCCCTCCTACTCATTCTGGATCCACACTGTTAGGCATTGAAATAAACCCGAATAACGCAAATAATAATTAGATCTTGGATTTGCACAAATACCTTCCCATTCCAATAGAAAGGTATCTCTAATTTTGTCAAGAGAAGTTAGTGCACAGGGAGTTTCTTCCATCGTAAAGCACGGCTGTTTTAAGGGAGTGGCCACATGGGCCGCGGCCCATGGCGGCAAATCTATAGGGGGCGGCAAATTTTGCAATTTTTTTAAATGTAGGTATGAAAAAAAATCGGATTTAGAAAAAAAATTACAAATGAGAAACGGCAACAAAATCTCTAATTTTCTGAGAGTATAGTAATTTCTACTTTTGTTGTCTTTCAGCGATACAAGAGACAGCACCTTTAATTAGTCGAATTAAGAGAGAAACAAAACACGGAATTTGGCCTGGAGAGAAATGATGACGAGGACTTGAGATGAAAAGGAGAAGCCCTCGGCGCGGCGATCGGCATGTAACACATATTAGCGCCTACAAGACTGCACGAATACTTCACGCATTGCATCAAACACAGTGCGGCCATTGCAGACAGCGTGAAACGGATAGCGCCTACAAGAATCCATGAATACCTCACGCATTGCGGCAAACATAGTGCGATCAGCGTGAGACGCATAGCACCTACAAGACTACGTGGATACTTCACGCATTGCGTCAAACACAGTGCGGTCTGCGAGGCGCGGCGGCGGAAGCTAAAATCATTAATCCACATTTATGTTTGTTTTTCATAATTTTTTCGTTTATATCTTATGAATGGAAGGCCTTGTCCACACATAGATAGGTTTACGAAACTTAACTTTAGCGCAAAATTCGGTGAACTTTTGCTAGTAGTGTTGACAGGGCTTTCCCAAAAAATATGTTCAACACCAGTAAAGGCGTCTTATACACCCCTCCCCCGCTGGCACGTTCATTTGATGGTTTTCACTGATGTTTCAAAACGAATGAGAAGGGGGCGGCAAAATACTAGCGGCCCATGGGCGGCAAGTAGGTAAATCCGGCCTTGTCGTAAAGTACACCAAAATTATACTTTAGTCCTGGATTCAACCCGAGTTAACTCTGCGTTTTCTGTCAGCGAGAATGTAAATTAATGTAATTTTAAAAAAATTGTAAAAATTGTAAAATTGTAATTTTTTAACTTGTGAATTGGATTTGGAGATTTAATGCGTCCATCGTATTGTACGCAAAATTTAGATGACGAGACATGTATATTGTGGTTCTTAATTGCGCACCATGTCTAGTGGTCCATTCGTCATAAAGACAAGCCTTTATAATGACGTCACCACTGCGCGTCTATCGGCTCTGACTCCTGCTGCCATAAACATATCTGCAGAATGACTCTGGAGGTTCATTTTTTGCATCAAGAAAAGCTTTAAGCGTGTCAGATCCTTCTGCATGAGTCAAGGAACTTCATGGGGGCAAAAGTCGCCGATTCAGCGAACTCCAGTGAATAATTGGTTGATTTCGAAACCGGAAATGTCGACTGTCTGATGAGCTCTAGAATTTAAGCGTTTTTACGGAGCTTAAGGCTCGTCAGTAAATAGGCATGTTGGGTATTTACATTGAACGACTCAAGTACACTGCCGTGCTAAGGAAGAACGCCGTATGAGCCTTCAGACGTTGCCATATTTCCTTCAAGAAAAATGTAATTTACTGAGAAAATTGTGAATGTGTT